CAAATAAGGAGTGCATTGTGTTTCACTGTATGCTGAGGATGGCTGTCATGGTGAGCTAGCAAACCCTTCTGTAATTGGCATACAGGAATTTTGCCAAAGTCATGGAAGCAAAGTGGTTTGTTACTTGCCTTTGAGGACTTGAGAAAGATCTGTCTTGGATATCCTCTTGTTGACCTTATCAAGTTAACTTTCATGTGTTTAGGAGGTCATGGAGAAAATCATTAATATTGGGTTGATTTGATGGCTGAAAGGTAATAAGTATTTCCTGCTTATCAGATGGGGTTTAAGAGGACTTTGAATAGCATGATTTGTTTATCTTTTGCAATCGGTACGATCCTTAGTGAGAGGGATTTTGTATTCCTGATTCAGCTGGGGGAATAACAAATGGTTTGCTCTCTATTGAGGCTTGGAGGCTCCGTAGCATAAATAGCAAAAACATCAGGAAATTCTGAAGTCCATCTCCCAGCTAACTTGGCCATGTTGTGGGCCTTGGACATCTCATGCTGTAATGCTTTATGACATGAACAACAACAGATTAACATCCCCTGTTACTGGAAAGCTCAAAATAGAAAATCCGAAGTGCATGGAGGTTGATTGGGTGGAAAGCCAAATCCTGTGAATGTGGCTTGGCACAGTGGGGATTTCATTGACCTTGGTGGGGCTGGGCTTGCTCTCTGTTCACACAAGGCATCCGCGAGTGCAGAGATGGGGCACAGCCCGTGCGGGACTGACACCACTGCTGTCAGAAGCTTTTCTTGGATTGCTGTGTGGTGAAACCTTGGGTGGCATCAGCAAAATGATCTTTCCCTCACCCTGTGTCTGGGATTTAACAAATAGGGGAGTCATTCTTTAAGCTGAAGGATTGTTGTAAAGCCATTTAAAATGAAACTACTCATTGTGTAAGAATCGTTTGGCAAAAAATCACTTGAAAATCTCCCATGTGGACTTGCTGAAGACAGATGTCGTTTCTGCTTCTGGTGGCTGTTTAGAAAGGAGGTAGGACTAAATGCACCTACCTTGAATGATTGGGCAAGGACAACAGAGGAGGGAGAGCTGCTTCTTTTCAGGTGTGAGGCATTTCTGATGCATCAGTGGCTTGAGGTTATAGTTGTTTTTTAAAGGAATGCTGTTTATTCTCTTGCATAAGCTCTGTATTGCCAAGTGTGTTTTTAGGATGTCTTTGTAGCTGTATATTATCACTGAAAGGTGTAGTGACAAATAACTAATAAATGGATAAGGAACTGATGGAAAAGAGAAAGAGAGCAAGAGTGAAAATTAAACCAAATTTGATGCTCTGATTTAATGACTGGGATTTTGCAGATCTGTTGCCAAAGAATGAGATGGAGTTATGTGAAACCACTATCCTGAGATGTTGAAGTTGTTGTGCATAGACAGAGGCCCATGCCAGTTGGATAGATGCAAACCAGACCATAATACAACTTCAAATCCTATCAAAACGCTGGGGGAGTCCTGCCTCCTGTCCCTGGAGAATGTCCCACAGGGCGTGGTGCTGGTCAGGAGGCAGAAGGTGCAAGCAGCTGTTCCCTTCAGCGATCTGTTGTGTGCAGCTCTGGATGCAGTCTGTGGGTTTTGCTGCCTACTGCGTGGACACGTGGATGATCAGATTGAAAGGCCAAAAAAAGATGGTGGTCCCTTTGTGTACGATATCTTTATAAGCAGCACAACATATCAACAGTAAAAGAAAAAGGAAAAAAAATCCTTTTGCTTTGGTGAACAGGAATGAAAGCCCTTAAGTTTAAGGGACTTAAAGGCATTTCTGCATTTGTTTTTATGATTGTTATGGAAATATATTTGGGGGTGGATGTACTTGGTTTTAGGTGACCTTCTTGACTGAGTGTTGGTGATCGGTTGCTGAAGGAGACATATGTTACTAATTTTTTTGAGCTTTAGGGAAGAGAGTCTCTCTTATGGTGTATATATAAATGGGCCTTTTTATCTCAGAGAAGTTTGCTGCTTGAGGGAGTGTGCTCTGTAGGGCAGGGATCCTGTGAGAGTGGATTTCAGCAGTGATCAAATAGGTTTTGTCTCATGAAATCGACACTGCATGAAATTTTGCTTTCAGGTATTGATGCTCTCTGCTGCAGGCCAGATGCAGCCCAGGCTGGCACAGCTAATTCCCCTTGGCCACACTCCAGCAGAGCATCCTGTTTCCACAGAATGGTTAAGCATGAGCTTATCTTTAAACAGGCGGCTAAATCCGGGTGGTTTCACTGCTGCTCTGGACCACAGCTTCTTGGCCAGGGGACAGGTCAGCTGCAAGGGGAACCTGTAGTGAGTTCCTCTTCCAGGATTTCTTTGCCTAAGTCAGAGCTGGGCCTGTTGCTGGAGAAGTGATGGACTGATACACACTTGGGCTGACTGTATTTCAGGGGTCAGTGTCACCTGCTGATTCCTGCATCAGGCTGCTGCTGGGCTTGGATGAAGTGTTGGGCTGTGGGTGGTGCCAGCCATGTCCTTGGCTGGGGGAGGAGGAGATGTCATCCCCCTGCGCTGCCAGGAGGATGTGCCCTTCTTGCAAAGCTTAAATAGCTGCTCTTAGGCAGGACAGTGGTGACAAACATGCGTAGGAGTGTTGGAGATGTGTTTGGGGCTGAACACAGTGCAGGATGCTCCGTGGGTGCTCCCCAGTCCACCCAGGCACTGCAGCTGCGGGCTGGGGCCTCTGCAGTGTGAGTGCTCCCGAGACAATTAGAAGAGAATTAAAACATGTTTTCGAAAACAGATTGCCTTTTCTGTTGGGAGTTTCTAAGAAAGCAAAGCAACATGCCCTTCCCCCCACTTCAGATCCCACCTGTTTTGTTTTTTTTCCTAGAAAAATGTGAAATTCATTAACATGTGGTGAAAGCAATGTAACGACGTCATCTTGATTTAAAATCTGTTTTAAATCTTAAAATGACGGAGCCAGAATTTTAACTGCAAATAGTCTTGCTTTGTGGGCATGAGGCAGACTGTCAGCATGATTGGAACATCTCTGTGCTTGGTAGTTTAACATCCCTTGCAACAATGGCATTTGAAAAGAAAGCAAGAAGACACGTAGGAAGGAAAAAAAAGACATTAATATTATTTCTGTCAAAAGCCAAGTCCTGCTTGCCATGGTGCCTGGAGAGAGCGGAGCGAGCAGAACCCAGCTCCATGCTGAAAGAACTCTGTCAGCATCCCACTGTGCCATCCTACCGTGCCTTCTGGGCAGGTGCCATGGCTGCTTCTCCTCTCACATCCTCAGCGTTGGGTCACAGTTTCTGGCTATTTTCTGACAGTGGGAAATATTGTAACCCTTGTAACTTCTTTCAACTCCATGAATGTCTGTTTAGACCTGGCATCACCCTGAGCCTCCCTTTGCCCAGCCTGTGCCCATGCCTTCAGCTCCCTACGGGCTTCTGACAGCAAAAAAGAGTTAAATCACTTTCCCTCCAAAAATTCAAATAGCAGAATCCAAGCATTTAATAACGGCACCAAAGGCAATTGTGCAACATCACTGTGAACCTCATTGCTGTGGCCACTGTGCTGAATGTGGTGTTTTGGTTCAGGTTGCTTAGTGAAGGTCTGGTGCTGAGCAGCACTGCCGGCCTGAAGTTTTCCTCCCACTGCAGGCCTGTTTGTCCCCTTGATAATTGAAAAGTTCTTTTGAGGTTTTGACTTTCAGGGAGTGTGTGACTTCGAAGTATTTGCTGGTATGAGATGCAGGAGGCTGAAGTGGGGCTGTTTCATGTGTTGTGACCACTTGCTCTTATGTGTTTTAGTCTGGAATGGATCTGAAGAAGGATTTATTGGCCTTTTTCATTTGCATCACCTGCTCCCTCCCAACACTGATACATTAGAACACTTGCTTGCAGGCCAACAGGAGGACAAGAGTCCCAAGTTTCTAAATGATTTATTGTCCTGTGAAGGGAGTCTGCTACCAAAATGTTGTCCATTTGTGAGTTTGGAGTGGGCAGCGTGGACGTTATGGTGCAGATGCTCCACAGATCACAGATGGACAGATCATGGAGCGATTTTTGGGCTTTCATACTGTTTGGGTGTGAAGTGCTTTAGGGTGCATGCTGCCCAGGCTCCCGTTTGGGAGAGCATCTTGAGAACATCTGTGCTGTCAGGTACTTGGACCTTGGGCAAGTCAGGATGACTCATGGAAGCAAAAGTGGGAATCCTGTTTTGGTGGTTTTTTGAGAATACTTAAGATAGGAAACTAAACAAAAAGTTTCTGGTAATATTTTAAGGCTGTAGTGAACTAAGGTTAATTTACTGCATTGGCCAGAAGAGACAGATGAGGTGGCTGAGGCAATCACACCCCTACTGATCATGGTGTGCAGTGGCACATGACTCTCACCACTCCGTGTGATCTCTCCCCAAGCCGTGGTCCAGTTGAGGTGGACAGAAATGCATTCACAGACGGTCACCAGTGAGCTGGCTTCACTGAAGGGCAGAGCTGGTGAAACAGTTAAGCTAAAGAGTGCCTGTGACACTTCTATTGCAGTAGATTTTGTGCCTGTGCAAAGCTCAAGCCCAGTCTGCTAAGGGGAGCACAGATAGTTTTTCCCTTGACTTCTCCCTGGAGCTAATCTGGGGAATCAGTGCAGATGCTGAGGGTGATGCACCAAATCCCTGAGATGGGGTTGTCCATCCCCATTCTCCCATCCGTGTCCATGTAACCTGGTAGAGGTTTTGCATATGCAATGGAGAGCCTAATTTATGGCCAGCATGGCTGACCAGGATTAAATCAATGCAGGGCCAGACAGAAGTTTTTATTCAAAAAAACCCCGTTTGAATGCAAAACCCCAAGTTTGGTTTACTGTTGAGAGCCAGCTCTGGGTAGAGTTACACACTGAGTGCCTGATACCGCGGCCACAGCTGTCAAGTGAAGGGCAGCCAAATCTGAGTCCTCGGCACCACGTGCCCCTTGGCAGGTTGGTGTGCAGTCCTGTCCAAGAGGCTTGTGTTCATGGTCTGTTCTTTTCTCTCTCCCAACTCCCCATCCCTCTCAGATGTTTGCTGCCGAGGAGAATGTGGATTTTCGGATACACGTGGAGAACCAGACGCGAGCGAGGGACGATGTAAGCAGGAAGCAGCTTCGGCTTTATCAGCTCTACAGCAGGACAAGCGGGAAGCACATCCAAGTGCTCGGCAGGAGGATCAGTGCCAAAGGAGAAGACGGAGATAAATATGGTAAGAATATTTACTGGCATCCCCCCAGATTGAAGGTCAAAGACTTTAATCCAGCATGTTGTGCGAAGAACCTCTTGAGAGAAAAATAATAAGAGCAATAAAAAGCAGAATAAAAGGAAAAAAACCCTTTCCAGATTAAGAACATGAGATTTGTTCTGTTGTAGCTGCCTCTCAGCTGCAGGCAGTTCCCACAGTACTGCCATGCTCCAATTTATTAGTGTATGATGGTGCTTGAAGAGAAAAATCTTTTTCTGTTCAAGGGATGGGCTAGGGTGTGTCTTCTGCAATTCATAAATGATACCCAAATTGGTGATTGCGGAAGTCCTTTCCCCATGAACTTTGGGCTCGAGTTTGGGCAAACTCAGTGCTTCAGTCAAGCACTCTCATGTTTTCAGGTGGAGGGATATTTGGTTTGAGCTGAAATGAAGCAGTCTTTGGGTGCTTTGAGAGAGCTCAAGTTGAATCTCTGGGCATGTGGATCTTACAGGAAAACAAATACTTGCCTTGCGCTAACAGCGCCTTCAACTCTTCTGGTTGTGATTTGCACACAAACAACGTGCTGGAAATGCTGCTTGAGGCTGAGTGACAAAAAAGTCTGTACTTCTGGTGTATTTTGAGACGGTTGTGGTTCAGATGCTTTTGCTCATGTTGGTTGTTGTGAGGATTTTAGGGCTGTTAAGAACACTCGTCCTGTTTCTCTTTGGGACGTACAGCCCCACATGTTCATGTGTTGCTGCAGAGGGGGGTGTGCACGTTGATGTGTTCAGCTGGAGAGGAGGAGACTGAGGGGAGACCTCACTGCAGTTCCAACTGCCTGGGCAGGGGCAGAGGAGGGGCAGGGACTGAGCTCTGCTCTGGGGGGACCAGGGACAGCAGCCAGGGAATGGCTGGAGCTGTGTCAGGGCAGGCTCAGGTTGGATCTCAGGCAAAGGTTCTTCCCCCAGAGGCTGGTTGGGCACTGCCCAGGCTCCCCAGGGCAGTGGGCACAGCCCCAAGGCTGCCAGAGCTCCAGGAGGGTTTGGCTGATCCTCTGGGGCACAGGGGGTGACTCTTGGGGATGGGCCTGTGCAGGGCCAGGAGTTGGACTCGACAATCCTTATGGGTCCCTTTCAACTCAGTGTATTCTGTGATTCTGTGACCATTCATGTGAGATTGCTTTCATATGCAGCACTGGTGAGGTGGAGGTGCAGAATCTGGGAACGGTTTTATCCCTCAGGAAGCTTCAGGCCTGATGAGGCACAGGCTGTGCTGAGTACAGAGGGCAGCTCTGGCCACTGCTGAGGCGGAGGAGCAGTGTGAGCTGTGCCACAGGACGTGATAGACAGAGAGCACCTGGCTGGTGTGAAGTGAACCCCCATGGCCCTTGTGTGGAGTCACCCCATCTCTCAGGGAAAGCCCTGCCCTGAGGTCTCATCAACCTTGTCCTTTGTCATTCCCAAATTTCCAGATAAAACAGGAGGGGAAAGTGCCACTTGGCTGCTAATTATTGTGTCACTTTATTGCATTCATTCTCGTAAGGTTTGATATGTAAACGAGTCGCTGGGTGCTGCTGCTGCCGCCCGGCAAGGCTCCTGCCCGCGGTGGCTGTCAGGTGCCGTGATGGAGTTTTCCTCTTCGTGAAAGAAGGCGGCATTTACAGTGGGTGCAGCAGGGAAGTGTGCCCGGGAGCAGCTGACAAGTGCTAATTTATGTGTCAAAGCCCATCTTGTCCCCTTCATACATATGCAATCGTGTCTGAACAACAAATCGGCGCGCAGGAGCGTGCTCGTGACCGATGGCGGTGCTGCACCATGGCAGAGCCTGAGATTTCCCGTCTGGGGAGCTCCTGCTGCCTGCATCCCTGCTCGCCACCAAAGCCCCCCGCTCCTAGTTGCTGACGTCCTTCGAACAGCCCGGAGTGCTCCGGCCTTGGGGGCTGTTTGCCGACACCAGCCCCGGCTCCCTCCCCGCACCTCCTCATCAAACTCCCTGAGGCATCAGGCTGCGAAGCCGCCTCGTCCCTAGCCCTGCTGAAAGGTTATGGAAATCCGCTCATCGACCTGCTTGGCACGGGAACACTCAGAGCATGATAATCGGGGAGACAGTGAGGTGGGACACGGCGGTCCAGGATGTGACCACGCAGAGCTCCTGTCTGGGATAATGGAGGGGAGAGATGTCAGAGTTACTGGAGTGAGAACCATCTGTGTTACAGCCAAACCTGGACACAAAGGCAATGACACAGGGTTCATTATGTGCCAGGAACCCCTCCCCCCGAGGCATTATTATGGAGTAACCTTTGATCAAGACCAGAGAGAGGCTTAAACGGGGTCTGGGGATCTCAACAGTCGCAAACTTTTGATCTACATCTCCGTCTTGCCAGTCGGGTCTGCATCTGGAGGAGGACACCTCTCCTCCCATGCAGCAGATGGCTGTGTGTCCTCCTTGTCCTTTTCCTCTCCTTCCCTCTCTGGCTGCCTTCGTGCTGGCACGGTGTGCCAGAGCCAGGCCTCACTCCGGGGGTACCCACTGGCTCCTGGGTTGCATCATCCTTGCAGACAGTGCAGCTCCCGCCGCTTCTGCACTGCCTGACCCCTGTCCCTCCTGGTGGGGAGGGGATGGTGGGGGTGTGGTGGGTTGATGGCCTAAGGATTATGGCTTGGGGAAGGCTTTGGGAGGACAGGCAAAAGCCAATGTCTGAGAAAAGGCAAGAGATGTGAGAAAAGGTGCCCTTGAGCTGGCTCCAGCCCTGAATTCTCTCAACAACTCAGTCCCATTAAGAGGAGATAACATCAGGCAAGGGCCACACAGGCTCAAGGTTCTCGTTGGGAACTCTGTCAGGTCCATAATGCTCATCACCAGCCATTAGCACTAGCCAGTTTTAAGGATAGGGGAGTTAATAACGTTTTAGCACCTCTTTCCCCTCTCTTCCCATACATTCACAACTGGTTAAAGAACAGTGTCCAAGTTGAAAAGATGCTTTTTTTCTTTGTCTTTTTTTTTTTCACATACCTAACTTCCAAATGGCTGGCATGGGAGGGTTGTCCTGCCTTTGAAGGGCAGTTGCTTTTATTGCAAGGTTTTATTGACTTCTGTAAAACTTCTCACCTCTTGATTGCAGAGAGTGCCCACAAAAGAAGGGAGGGGGCAGATCTCAGGCAGGGAATTGCTCCTTTCCAAGCAGCCACCAGGAGTATGGCAGAACGAGCAGCCAGCCCTGGCTCAGGGAGAAACGATGCTGCAGGGCTGGAGGAATACCCCTTGAATGTTTTATCCAGGTGTGCAAATGCCATGTGCAAGGAGAAATACATGCTCTGTAATGTATGGGTTTGCTGGCATAATAATTCCGGTGTGTAATTTTTGGTTCATGCGTTCTTTGGGATCAAGATCTGGCCCCGTGTGTCAGATTATTAAATGGCAAATTAAGTCAGTTAATAGAATTAATTGAGTCGATGTAGTCCTTTTAATCAGATGGATTTGATCCCTTCTCAGATGAATTAGGATCCATCACCAGATAAGTCAATTATTGGACTAAATTAAATCTAATAATAATGCCTGCTGCTCACAGCAACACTAATTAATCTAAATACACTTACCTATCTCCCAAGGTTGTTTTTTTTAAAGGCTTAATTGATGTTCCTAAAGTGCTCTGAGATCTTTAGATAATAGACGATCTATGTGAGCAAAATATTATCTCTTAACAGACTATAAACTAATTAAAAGACTGATCTATTTACAGATTGCATTTTTACTTTAATCTCTTCAACCTATTCAGAAGGAGTTTGCACTGGCCCAGAAAAACAATATTCCTGTTATAAGCTTATTATTACTTTACAGGTTCCTAAGTGGTCCTTTCATTCAGAAAATGAAAGGGGGAAGGGGAAAAAACAACCATTAAAGTGCTGACAAAAAAAAGAAAAGGACCTGGAACCTTTATATTCTACCTCTGATAAATGGTACAGATAGGGAAGAGAGGGATCAGTGACCTGAAACCTTAGATCCTTTCATTTATTTTCATTTCACAAAAGGCAGAAGACATTCTATCCTGTTTGTTCACGATCTGTGTATCCGGCGCAGTTGGGGAGACAGAGCTCTCTTGGTTGGGTGAAGGCATTTTTTGCCTTATTTGTATTTCACAGCCATGGGATTTTTGGTTTAATTTGTCCCCAGCTACTGCTGTCCTGCGGGGCAACGAGCAGTGATAGCCATCGGTGGAGAGGGGAGAGGTGTGAGAGCCCTTTACTGCCCTCTCGGTGGAGGTAACCTTAATTTGCTTGGATGTCCTGAAGGCTGGGATGTGCTGGTAGGTACATTACTAGTCAGCGTGTTCCAGGTGGTATTTTGTCCATGGACCTATTCCATCACAATTTAAAAAACAGTCTTGGCTCCCCCAGAAGGTTATAAACCCTCTGTTTTATAAAACTTCTCATTTATATGCCTTCTAGTCTACAGCATAGAGGCTGTGTTTGAGGACACCCTGTGCAAGGGGCAGTGCACAGGTAGGATATCTCTCCTCAGCACCCCAGTGCTGGACCCTGAGCCAGTGACATCCCCTCAAACACTCCCCCTGGGTTCAGTGGGTTTTAGCCCAGGACTCCAGAGATGCTCCTGAGACAGGAGGTTTAGGGGGTTAACAGACCATGGTTTGCCAGCAGTCGACACATCTGGGGTCAGGTAGACCAAGGGGGGAAGGAACCGCAAGAGGTTGTGTGCGTGCAAGATGCCAGGTGTTACCTCCACGTGTCATGGGCGTGCTGGGGACAGAACACCCCGTAGGGATGTGCTTTTTTGGGTGGTACAGCGAAAGCAAGGAGCTGGGGAAAATGGGTGACTCCTTCCTGGGGCCACTCCAGCCTGGGTGGTGTGCTCTGCAGCTTACAGCCCCCACCTTCTGTTCAAGCTGGAGCTTCCATGAGATGCCAGTGGACCTGCCCATGGAGAGCACATTACAGCTGTCTAGACATCAGCCACACTCCATCCCGCCAGAGATTTCATTTGTGGTAGAAGTGGGCTCTGTTCCATGA